AAAATTCTGCTACTAAAGGAAACGGCAGATGAGCAGTTGCCAGGATCTCCTACCAGGCTTCCTCCCCAGCTGTGTCCCTGGGGAGCAGTTCCCTTTTTGCAGTCTTGCTTGCAGATTCTCAGCAGAATGCACAGTTTTCACTGCTGGAGACCAAATCCTCATTTCCATCCTTCTGTGCAGCCCATTTGCCCTTCCTCCCACCTCAAACTCTCAGACGTTTGAGCCCTTCTTTGTGGCAGCAGTTTCCAAGAGAAACTTCTTGGTTTATCTTCTTTAACCAAAACCTAAAAGAGATATCTGTTTTATCTGACATCTGCCTTTCACACGGATCAGGTCAAACACCCACTTGCAAAATGCCTGACTCTCCTAAATCCCCAAATCAGCCTTGTTCATCTACTCTCTCTGGTTAAGAGCAGCAACCAAAAAAAAATAGTCTATCATGAATTTTTATAGATTCAAAACACGTCTTTTGCTTTCCTCTTCTGCAGGGAAAATGTGCAATTTAAAGTTGTGAGTGCTGATGTATTTGCTGATGTATTTTTCTTTTTCTTGGAAGCATCTTCAAATGTGGCCAAGTAGGTGTCCTCTCCCGTGTGTGCTTTCCATAAAATCAGAGTTTCTCTCTGATGTACATGCTTTACCTTGAGTATTTCCATATGAAAAGAGAACCTTGAGGAAAATCTGCAGGACTAGAAATCCTGGAGTCTGTGGATTCCAGGAATGAGTGAATCACAGATGCTTTTTCCTCATCTGAATTCAAGGACACACCGGCTCCATGATGGCTGCAATTCCTCAGGGAAAAAGGGGCAACATCCCCTGCTTGTTCTACCACATCAGCCACTTTTAACTAACTTAAAAACTATTTTGATTTTTGCTGTGAGTTAGAAAAGTTTGTAGAGCAGTGTGATGAGCTCTCACCTCACCTGGCTGCTASAGGCACTCTGCAGAGTTGTGTTCAGAGAGCAGTTGGTTGTCACTGGATTGTCTCTCCAACAAAACCCGGTGACAATCAAGTTAATGCCTCTGCTTTTACCTAATTGTCCTTGTTGAATGGCTCTAGAGACCTCAGGGAGAAACCCTGTTCCTGGAGAAGGAGGATATGGGGTGTCCTGGGGGCCTGGTGCAGCACTCACTGGGAATGCCTCAGCCACAAACCCCARACTGATCCATTGTACAAGASTGAGCAGGGTRAACACAGTAATAGTTGCCATTGCTRTCAATCATTAWGGACTATATTTTCTRAGGGGTAATWTAGAGGRAAATTCTTCTGTAATTAATTACAAATTCATTGTAAGATACTAGCACAGGTTAAGCCCAGAGCTGATGCTCTCTGTCTTTACCCACTGTGCATCCCAGAGGCCACAAACAGCACGTGCAAACAGCCACAGATACCTGCATCTGCATCCAGGCCAATCCTTCTCACTCCTTCTCACATCCTGGGATAGGCAAACATCGATGCTGTTGGATTTTTCCCAGATTCCTGCCTACAGGAATGAGTTTGAGGCTGAGCTGCCCAAACTGAGCTGCTGGAGCTCTGCAGGGTGACTGCAGCTCTCCTSGCAGGGAAGGCTGGGCTGGGGCCATCCAGCTGCTCACAGCTGCCACAAGGCTTGAAAAGGGTRATGTTGTCACCAGCCAATTGACCAGAAGAGCTCAATTTCTTGGGCCTTCCATTCCTGCAGGATYTTCCTTCCTTTTATGTCTCTTAATCTTTTTAGAAATCCATCAGTCAGAGGCAAGTGATGGCTCAYCACTGCAAAAACAAAGAGAGCTTAAAATATTTGCTTCCTCTACTTAAGGTTTACAATTCTGAGTAGTAAGTTATTAGGAAGCTGCAGAGCAATCATATGAGAACAGAATAATTAATAAATTTGCCTCATAAAATGATTAAAGGAAATGTAAAGAAGTTTCAGCRATCTCTCAGTGTGTTAAATAACGAGCAAGTAATTTCTTTTTAGTTTTGCTGTGTAAATTCATTTGGAGCATCTGTAATTTAAAATAGCCCTGAGATTTACATAATTTTTCTGCCACTGCTTTTGCATTATGCCAAATTCAGTCCCAGAAAGGTGGCTGCAGCTCTCACTCTTCATTTTTCCAGATTAACGGGCACAAGAGTTTCTTTGATTTTCTTTGGGAGATAACCCTCAGCAAACATTTTTTTTTTTTCCAAATCATCTGCCTTGTCCCTGGTCCCTATTACCCTGCTAGTACAAAGCAAATGAGGGTTCTTTCCAAACTTACAAATGATAAAGAGTGCTCATTCTCCCAGYTGTCTTTGGTACAATCTGTTTCAAATGCTGGCACTGATGATGTCTCAGAACAGTGTAGGAGGGATGCCTGAGCGTGACTGAGCCACAGAGTTTAAAAAAAAAAAGAAAGAAAAATGATATATTCCTTTCAAACAGAAAAGAAAATCCAAGGAAGCCATGCCTTGTCTAAAACAAAACAAACCAAGCCAGCTAAGTTTATTGTCTGGATTGTTAATTGTGCTGGATTGTTCAGCTGTCCCGAAAATGTCTCTTTAATCATTCAGTGAGGCTGAAGCCTGGCTCTCCGGAGATCACGTTCTGATCTCTCACATATGGTACCTCGCACCGTTCATTAGACCCGCTGCTCCAGTCACATGGAAATGATGCTCAGACTGTTTCTGTCCCTATCTGCTGCTTTTCCTCCTGAATGTGTCAGTCTCATGATGAGGGCAGCGACTCCAGCTGATACAGACACTGCTGCTGATTGCAAAGAGAGGCACTGCTGTGAAAATAAAGAGAAGAGGGGGGTTATTTCTGTCTGGGTTTGGGCTTTGTGAGGCATCCCTGCCCCGCAGAACGGCAAAATCCCTTGTGGGAGGATCACAGGTGCTAATCAGTGAAAAGAGGATGAGTGACCCTGCGAACAAACTGCGGGACTGGGATGCCCAAAAAACTGGGCTCAGCTCCAAGAGAAAGGAAAAAATTTCATCAGTCTTGTGAGACTCAGTTCTCAGCTCCCAGCACACCACGAAGCCTGGCTGCTTCCTTTTGGGGGTGAGGTGGGAGCAGGGACTTGCTGTGCACAGTGAGAATCAGGATTTCTTGCTCTTCCCTCTGCACGTTTGGTGCTGGCAGTAGAGAAGTGAGGAACGAGGCAATTTTTTCCAGGATGGCTGTAAGGCAGTCAGGATTGACTTTGTGTCCCGGCTGGAGGGACAGAGCTCTCATGGAGCCCAGCTGAGGATGTGAGAAGCTCCTGTTCAGGAGCCTGGCTCCAGCCACACGTGCAGGAGGATCAGTACTGGTGGCTCCCAGCACAAACCAGGTCAGGGGATTCCCGAGCAGCACAGAGCCCTTGCCAGGGGACCCCAGAATGTCACATCAACTCCTCAGCCTGCACTTGGTGTGAAGTGTTGAGTCAGTACAAATGTCACAGCCAAAGGTCTTCAGAGTCACAGTGACAAGAGGAGGAGGYGCTGGTGCCAAGAGTTGTGACACAGGGAAAACGCTGTCACTGCCACCACCTCCAGCCTGGAGATTTATTGGTGGTAACTCGGGATGTGCCATAAGCAGGGGTGATATTAAACGAGTCTGACTGTCTCGGGGGCTGAGTTTTACAACCCAAAGTGTGAACTGTCTGTGTGTCGCTGAGATCCTGAGGCGTTTTCCCGGCAGCTCCTGTGGTCTCATTAAATGTTCTCTGGCCYGAGGGAGCCCTCCCTGCCCAGCACAGCAGCAGGGGCTGAGCACAGACACAAACACCGGCCAGAGAGCCCAGCCCTCCTGGTGGACACCTCCCAGGACACACTGGACACCTCAATGGGCACTCAGCCCTTTCTCCACGGCTTTGCAGGAAACCAGAAATGGCCACACAGGTGTCCCCAAGCACCAACACATTCCCAGCATCAGAGGCTCCAACCTCAGYSCCACAGATCTCCCYGGAGCTGGGCTGTGGCTGCATTGAACCTTGGTGAACTCTGCTCTGCCCTCTCAGAGTGGTTTCTTCAGCCTTGAGGTCAAACCCGTGGCTTCCTCCTGGAGTCACTGGCCACTGCGCTGTTGTGCAAAGGCTTTCCTTCTGCTCCATAAATGCATCTGGGGGTGCAGTAGCCTCTTTCTGCCAAGGCATTCCCATTTTCAGATAACTCATTTTACCCCAGGAGCAGCAAAAATTTCAGCAGAGCCCTGGGGACAGTGATTTCATTCTTCTGAGTCCCTTCTGCCTTTCCAAATGAAGCAGCTCTGTGGAGATTTGGGCAGGGCACCCCATGGCCACAAAGCCCCTTTCATCACAGGCTGCCTTCACCAGCCCACCCACCTGGGGGAAGGTTACCCAGTGCAGAGAACGTGCAGCTTATCTCAGGGGAAAGGTTTATTTGGGAGATATTGCTGAGAATCCTCCTCATCCTCGCGCCCTCACTGGTTCAAAAATGATCTAGACAAAACTTCACAATGTGTTTAATTTTAAGTTGTAAATTAAGTATGTTTATTGCAGTGCTGGGTGTGCAGAAGGTCGTGCTCAAAGCCGGGCACATCCCCAGCAGGGTATCACTTGGTATATATCTGGTTACATGTTACACACTCATTGAATTTTGAAGTTCGCCTATACATATGCATGACTTATCTCTGCTTTGTATTATAATGAGTTTAAATTCATTTCCATGTGCTCACACAGTATTATTTGGTAGTGGGCTCCAGGGCTCTCGGGAGGAAGTAAAATACTCATCCTCTTGTTTTTAACTTTTTACTTTTGTGTCTTGAGCATGCTCTCTGAGTCTCTGGCCTAAGTCTAAACAACAACTCTGGTTTTAGCCAGCATGGGGGTCCACGAGCATAAGTTGTGTCACAGTCTCTGCTTTTGTCAATAATYTTTTACYTCTCATTCTGCTTTGACAAAGACAATAAATGTTAACTAAACAATATCCACTGTMTAGCAAGCAGCTAGTAATATATACYGTTTAACAAGCAGTTTCTAACAAGCTAACTCCTAACTCCCCTGCATCATCACGACCCTTCCCTCTGCTCCCGCAGTCTGCTCGCAGTTCTCCAAGGGCGTCTACGCCATCTTCGGCTTCTACGAGAGGAGGACCGTCAACATGCTCACGTCCTTCTGCGGGGCMCTGCACGTCTGCTTCATCACGCCCAGCTTCCCCGTGGAAACCTCCAACCAGTTTGTCCTGCAGCTGCGCCCAGAGCTCCAGGATGCCCTCATCAGCGTCATCGAGCACTACAGCTGGCAGAAGTTTGTGTACATTTACGACGCTGACCGGGGTAAGTCACTGCTCTGTGGGAGGGGTTGTCAGCCAGGCATTCAAAAACAGTGGTCTTGAGGGGGTCTTTGCCTTTGAAATTGTGGATTAATGGAGGTTGGGTCAACCTACGCCTTCCCTGTTCTCTGTTTGTTTTCCAAATGTCCCTTTCTGCTGATGGTGAGCATTGATCTAAATGAAGAATCAGCCTGAGAGGGTGCACATGTGTTCACGGGGTCAGGTCTGAGCCCCATTAACACAAGGAAAGTACGTGATGTGCAAATGGCTCGAATTTGAAATGGGGAAATTGTTTCTGTTCAATAGGGCCCATATTGCACTGGTCTGTCGAACTTAAGGCCACTGAGTCCCAAATTTAGAAACGTGAACAGACACTTGCTCAGGTCTCACCTGAGCCCACACCCAGGTGTGAAATAGTTTGGAAAACTCCGAATTCCCTGTGTTGGTGCAGTCAGTTTTCCATGTAAAAGAACAAAACCTTTGTTGCATGATGTGRTATATTATCCACCCTTGAAAACCACAAACAGGGCTAGAGAGGTCATTGCTTCCAAATTCAGTTTCCCCAGCTCTCARATGCCTTTAAAGCTCCAGGCTTGGAGGTTGGAAGCAAAACAGCCTCGTGGAGGACAGGACAGAGATAAGGTGATTCACATCTCTGTCCTGRAAGTCATAATTATCCCCTGAAAAGACAGGATGGGCTTTAGAGACAGGGAAAAGGTATAAAAGCATCCCACCTGCTTTCTATGTCATGGGGCATGGGCATGATGAATACCCCAAAAGGACTTCAGTAGGCAGGATTATCTAAGGCTGCCCAGCACAATTCCAGACAATTGCTACGTGCATCTCCTCTGGGATGTAATTTAGGCAACATAATTCTAAAAGTAATGGTCTCCTGATGAGATTCTGCCAAGAGACAAGGCTKCTGAATGTGATTGTGTGCTGGGATTGCTGAGGGTGTCCCTAACCCTAGGAGCACRCAGCCTAAACAGATCAAAGACGAGAAGAAAACTATGGCTGAGAGAAATCAAATTATTTGGGTAGTGACAGACAGGAAGACRGGGATTAGGGTTCTTGTCTGAATCCCACAGCAGGGCCTGATCAGTGAGACCCATCTGCAATTACAGAGGATGATTAGGCCTGGAATCTTCTGTGCTAGGATAGAAAAAGCAGGAGTCATTAATTCCAGCCCAGCTGAGTKTGGGGCAGATCTGGACTATTAACTGCTCTCTGTAACTCTGCTGCACTCGTGTGATTCTGTCTCCAGCTGGCTTGAGGCAGCTACACAGGCTGCCAGAAGGATGGGAAGATGCCTTTKCACCATTAAAACCTGCCTCTCCCCYTTCCTGTCYSATCACAGGGCTGTCAGTCCTGCAGAAAGTGCTGGACACTGCAGCTGAGAAGAACTGGCAGGTGACAGCAGTCAACATCCTGACAACGACAGAGGAGGGCTACCGAATGCTCTTCCAGGAACTGGAGAAGAAGAAGGAAAGGCTGGTGGTGGTGGACTGYGAAACTGAGAGGCTGAACATCATCCTCAACAAGGTCGTGCTGCTGTGGGCCTTCTGGGAGGGGTCTTGCACACGGGATGGGGAGGGTTGTTTCTCCTGGTGGAGCTCTCCCCATTCTTGCTGATCCCTGTCTCCTCATTGCTCTTGTTGGCTGTGGGCTCTGTGCCTGTTCTATACTCAAGTGTTATCTAGTTTTCTTCATATGGACAGGAAAATAAGCCTTTCTTTCAAGTTTCCTCACATAACTGGAGGAAGACAAACCTAGATATAAGGAAAGCTATTTGTAAGAACACTAAAAATCCAGATACTGTGATTATTTGTTTTCCAATGCTATAAAAAATATCAGCTCCCAGGGAGAAGTGGTACAAAGCTGTGTTTTACTGCAAAAAATACAGAGCAATTCCAGCAGACATTTGTGCCTGGGAGGTAACACTCCAGTGAAGAATAGAGCTATGAACAACTTTTTCAGGCCTGTGTAGTCCATTTTCATCCATTTCTGTATTCTTGTTCCAAGTCCACGGGGATTTCTGAGAGCAGAAGTAGTTGTCCCTGTGTGAGAGGGTGATGTCAGGTTTTTCACAGTGTACAGATGACTGGAGGGATTCAAAGTCAGTGCTCAGCTCATTATCATGTGAAATTCAGCTGGGCCTGTACCTTGGTCTGCTGGCTGGTCTCAGCTCAGCACACCAGCAGCCTCTGTGGGATTGTCACTGTGCTGTTTGYCCTGTGRGATTGTCACTGTGCTGTTTGYCCTGTSCCTCTGAGTGGCTGAGGTGTTCCAAGAGCTGCCTCAGCCTCTCGGGGACATTTCAGTGCATTTATCTTCTTCCCTGATGAGTCTGTCTCAGGCTCTGGGTGGCAGTGGGTTTGTGCAATGGCTGCTCAGCATCTGTGCCTCTCACCCCCACACTGCTGCTCGCACACACTTTTCATTTTCCCTMCAAACACAAAACCCAAATAACACCAGAGACCCCAATGAGGCGGCTTTTGCTCTCTGGCCACCTCAGCTGTGGAGGAACCAGCACTCTACGTGTTAAAAACTATCTGATTTCTCTCTGGGACATCTCTCTGTGTCGTGTCTCAAGGGTTTGATTTATTTTTGCCCAAGTACCTGTCATTTTTGAGCCAGGCCACGGCTCAGGGCAGGTTGCCRTGGGGTTGTGTTCTGTAGCCTTAATGGGATAAGGATGAGGTGGGTTGTGTTCCATCAAAGCCCTCCATTGTTTCTTCATGGTCTCTCATTAAAATGAGTAASTGGAATTTCTCCTTTGCCAGGGTTTCACTCTGAGAGGATTTCTCTCTAATAGATGTCAAACCTGCCCATTAAGAAGTGGGTAATGAAACCTCGGTGGCCCAAGTGAGCTATCAGCATGCAGCCCGGCACAGCCTCTCTCCACAGTCAGRAAAAGTGATAAATGCTGTTATAACCTCAGCTTGCTACTGCTGTCCGGGCACATTAGGACTGAGCAAGCATTTTAAAATAARTTAAGATCGCAAATAACTGTGTAAAACACAGGAAACGAGCCTCATAATTCAGGTGGATGGGCTGCAAGATTAACAGCTCAGGGAGAGCTGGATGGCAGCCCTCTCCGGTTCATCGGCTCTGACACCTCATAAAATAACAAAGGAGAGTTTGGGCAAGAGGAGACAATGCCAGCTATTGTTGACACTGGAGRAAAGGGGAATTGGATCATAATTCTTAAGACATCCCAGTGCACCAGAGATTCTCCTTCCTCCCACAAGGTCTGGGACTTGCTGCAAAGGTCAGCCTCAGCTGATGAATGGAAAGGGACAAGTTGGGTTTGGTTTTGCTTCTTAGATCAGGCAGTGGGAGACACTCAGAAAACCACCCATAATGAGGTGTTTACCTTCCCAGCTTTAGGCAGACAGAGGTTTCTTCTGAGAGCTCCAGACACCTCAGCAGAAGCCACGCTGAGGGATCCTGTGCAGGGAGCCCCAGAGCAGTGGAGCTGGAGGAGTTTGCATTATCTGTGTGAGGAGCTGCTTCTTAATGAAGCCTTCACTGGAGTTAATTGCCAYCCCCCCGTTAATGCTGAGAACCAGATGAGTTTTATTATGCATACAAGAGCACTTCATCAGACAAGGGCTAAGGCAGATGAACCGGTTACACAGAGCAAGTGTCAGCTCATTTATAATCCATTTGGAAATCCCTAAAYGACTGCTCATGATAATCTGGGAGTGCTGTCCCATGGGGAGGATCAGTCTCTGCCCTCAGCTGACACTTTTCAAGCACCTGGTATCAGAGAGGTGTCCTGGGTAGACTGATTTCTGGTTGAATTGAGCACAGCAGTGGTTTTATGATCATTCTGCCTRTGAGGATCTTTCTGGCCTCACTGCAGTTTGTGCAGATTTTGCCTGAGCGTTGGCAATTCAGGCAGGAATCCAGAACCGATTCATGTGACAATGGAAATRAGAGGTAGTGTTGCCAGGAAAGAAACCTTATAGAAGCAGCACAGTTCTCTCAGAAACTGGCAACTGGCAAATCTTGTGTTTGTRCAGGCTTTGAGAGCAGGTTGGTTTGGGGCCTTTTTTTTTCACTTTCTTCTTTCTGTGTGTAGAGTGGCTCAAATGCAGATGGTACCTGACTCTWGTAAGAATTTAACAGTGCTGCTGGAAATCAACAGAGAAGAATTTCAGTGAGAAAATGTAGCCAGCAAGAGGAACGAAATTTTTAGTATTCTTTCTGTACTCTTTAAATCAAGGGGGAAAAAGACAGGGAACATCTGATCAATGCCTCTGCCTCCCAAATCACAGGAAAGTCTGCAACAAGTGGAAAGGGAGAAAGAAAGGGAAACTTCTTCAGCTAAGGCAGAAAAACTCAGTTGTTACAGATTGGTAAGCAATTGTGCTGAAAAAAGAAAATAAAAACCTGACTCTGCAGCATCATGGAGAAACGAGTAAGTGGCGAAGACCATATATTGGGACAGCATGCATATGAATATATAAATTATCTCAATGAAATTCCAGGGGAATCCTCTGTGACTTGCACAGGCAGTTTCATTCTGGAGATGTGGTTGAAGCTACACTGATGCACTAAAACAGAAAAAATTATCCATACTCTGAACTTGCAGCCATCTCTGCCAGGTAGGTAGGGAGAGCAGCAGGGTCTGCAGCTTGGAGGATGTGCAAGGTTGCTCTCCAGTCTTTYCTGATGTTTCAGTTGCATTCACAGGACTCCAGCTCCCCATTTGTTCCTTCGGTGACTGAAATACAAACCTTGTTAAGGCCTTTTTTTTCTTTTTCCCCTGAGCCCATATGAAATAGGTTGGTTTGTTTTTCTTTCCCTGTCTGTACAATGTTCTTGGGGATCTTGGTCTGTCTGATTTCAGATTTGCTGCTCTAGTATCATGTGTGAAAGTTCTGTCCATCATCTAATAAGATTGTGAACATTCCTTTTGCTGTGTTTTCCTGCTCACAGCTGAATAGTCTCAGCAAGGAACAATAATAACAAGAAAGGGCAGAGAGCTGAAGTTCTTCTTCCTTCTTTCTTCTTCTAATTCCTCTGCTAATTATCCTTGGTTTTTATCTTGYAGATCATCAAGCTTGAAAAAAATGGGAATGGGTACCACTACATTCTGGCAAATATGGTGAGTTACCCTAATTGGTGGGGGTTTTTTTTCTATCTCTCATCTTTGTAAAGCACTATATTTATAGTTACTGAGCTGTACAACCTGTTTACCTTTTAGGTAAAAAATTCTGGAGTCTTTTGCTGTGATCTCTTTGTGGACTTTTCACTCTTGAGCCAGCAAGATTATCTGCAGGGTATCTCCAAGTGTGTTGGGGTTTTGTGGTGCTGTCACCCTTGGCTGGGTGACAGATGCCCACCAAAGTCATTTTATCACTCCCCCCGTGGTGCCAAATGAAATCTGACTGTTGTACCCCAGGGAAAGGATTGGATGCCAAGATTTCTGTAAGGAAAGGATTCTCCCTTCAGTGCAGGGAGGCGCTGCCTGAGGACAGAGCAGTGTTGGGCAGTGGCAGGAGCATCTTTCTGGAGCAAATCTCACMGGAGGATGGAAAATTTCTTTGCCTAGGGAGGTTTGGGGAGAGGTAGGAGAGAGAAATGGAGGTTTTCCACAGCAGAGCTCCTCTCCAGATGTGTCACTTCATCCAGGGGGATGCACAGCAGAGGATGGGCTGCTGGGACTCCTGTGTCCATGTGGTGTGAGCCCTGTTCTTCCTGCACAGATCTGCATCTGGGAGGTTGCACATCAGCCCTGGGGTAATTAAACTTTAAACTACCAATTAGTCAAGCAGTTGCTGCCCTTCTCCTTTTCTCAGTCCCAAGATAACTCCATAATTTACAAGGCAAAAATGGCCACATCATTACCCTGCAGTGCCCTTTTCTGACCCTGCACCCTGCGCTGGCCACCTACCGTGTAATTACAGARATAAAAATGTTACCTTGTGCAGGGSCAGACATGCAAMACCATAGACCAGCCAATAACTTCAGTTGCTAATTTAAAAACATATATATATTATTTTATGTAACCCAGGTCCTGGATGTTGATGGAAGTCCTTTCATTAAGGTTAAGCAGGAAAAGTGGGCTGGAGTCACCACAGTGAGGGTGTCTGTGTACTTTTATGTCCCCACATGGAAGGCATGAGGTGAACTGAACCAACTCTCAGGTGTAGGAGATTTGAAGGACATTTCCCTCTGTCCCAAGATACAACACTCTCCTGTTTTCACCTAGAGAAAGTACACTTGTCCCATCTTTAATGGGCTTTTTCAGCCTTTGCACAAATGCTGAGAGGACAGGGCTGACTGGAAGAGGCTGCATACTCAGCCAACATGGGTTATAAATAATTAACTYGGAGCAAAAGGCTTTTCACTTCCCCAGCCCCTCTGCAGGGACATTCTGCCTCCTTCTGCAGCTCAGTGGAGGGGGCTTTGCCCAGTGTCTGACAGGAGCACCAGAATTCACTGGTGTGCTTTCCAAGAAGCTTGGATTCAGGGGAGAAGAAGCAGAGGGAAAGGAATTCAGGCTTTAACTTTGTTCTTCCCTGCTCCTGAAAACCCAATATCACACAAGAGCCAAACACCAGAAAAAGGAAATAAAAAAAAATTAGAAGAAGGAAAAGAAAAACTAGTAGGGGGTAATCAGACAACATGGGAACTTTTTTTTAAAAGAAGCTTGGCACCCCTCAAGGTTAAGAAGGTCCTTTCCAGGGCAGAACAATGTGGGCAGGCTCAGACACCAGAAACCAGATCAGCTCCTGTGATGTGCTGCACCCACASGAGAGCTGCTGGATAATGGGTTTAGCAAAGAGAATGACAAAAAGGCCCTGAAGATCCCATTTCTGAGACCATGGGGCAGCAAGGAGGGACAGCAAACCTCCTCATGTGGGGTTGGCTGGGGATTTTATTAGAGATTGTCAGAAGTCGGCATCTGGCAGGGTTAAACCCCTGAGATCCAAGGGATCACAGCAGGCTTTACCCTCTTCTGAGGACATCTCATCGCTGGATTAGAGCCTTCAGAGGGTGTAGCGTGCTGTAATTTATTCCCACTGACTCACACACGTAGTGGTAGACCTTAAACACCCCGCATTTTCCCCTGCAGACGTGTCCCAGGATGACAGGGCGTGCGGTGCCCACACGCGCTCCCCCGTGCCTGGAGAGCAGCCCCGCTCCCTGGAAATGCCTCATGCTGGAGCCCTGACTCCTCACAGAATCAATTAAGAGCTAAAACCAGCAATTGTTTTGTTTCCTAATKAGTTGTTCTTCGTCCCCTGTGCTAACTGAGGCCATCCTGAGTTTAGGATTTATCCTAAAGGTCAAGGGAATCCTCAGCTGCTCCATGGCCACCAAATTTCCTGCCCTAGTTGGAGCATGGGRAGGATTTTCCAATGCCTGCCTTTTGCCAAACCTGCTTGGGTATGGAAAAATGGGACACAACCATGGAAATGACACACTGGAAGCAAATATTGGGAAACATTTCTGGATAAACCCGCTTAAATTCCCTTTTTTTTAGCTGTGTGCTTGCTCATAGCTATGCTCAGCCAAAACCCAAGCAGCAGCACACGATTGCCCAGTCTCAGCAGCTTCAGACTGGTGCTGCATCGTGAATGCAAAGCGAGTTTGCAAGGCTGAATAAAGACTAAAAAAAATCATCCATAGGCACATTTTAGAATGAAGGAATTCCCTGTCTGGCCACAGCCAATCCCTGAGCAAAGAGGCATTGCCTTGCATTAACCTTGCTGTGTGTTTGCCCAGCAGTTGCTCTGGGTGAGCTGTAGTGCTGAGCAGAATTTGACAGCAGCAAGTGAAAAGCTGGTACTTCCTACCAGGAACAGCTTTCGTTTTCAGTGAAATTGCTGTTGCCAAGGTGAGACAATAATATTTCWGTGTTCACAAACAAAATAAAACCATTCTGCACCTCAGGCAGCGGGCAAACATCCTTCTCTGAAGCTGCTACACCTGCTAACGACACAACCTGTCTTGTCTGCCCAGCCCTGTCCATCCCATGAAGGTCTGACTGCAATATCCCTGCAGGGGAAGGGATTTTGTGAGCATCCCTGCCTCTCCTTGGGCCAAATTGGGCACTGTTCATGGCTTTTACAAACTCATTAAATTCTGGTCCTCAGCCAGTACTGGTTAGAGTTACCCCAGTTAGCTTTTACCAGAGCTAACGTGGATATTTGTCAGGTGCACTGGCACTGGGGGATTGCAGTCATCTGTCTCTTTCTCCCTCTCTTTTTTCTCACTGGAACTCAAAGACATTTGGCAACTTTAAGAAGTGTTTGTTTTTGTGAGTCGTATTTTTCTAAGCTTTCTTCTCAGCCTTTGAGATCATCAGTTCTAGCAACCACAAAGGGAAAACAAAAATRCAGTCAATACCATCAGAGGGGCAAGCTTAGAAACTTCTGGGATTCCTTTCTTTTGATCTCCAGGCTTTTTTCCCATAACCTTGGCTTTGTGTATCTCTTTGTCCTACGCCATGGATGTGAGCTGACTGCTGTCAGCAGTGGGACAGCATTAGCTCTCTTGGGCAGAGAAAAATCTTTGTCATTAAACAAGTGACATTYGTGTGACCTCTCTTTAAAGGAAAATTATGAAAGACAGCTGCCACATACAGCGCTTTAGCCTCTTTTTTCTTTCCTGGCACATTAGTCCAGGTTGTTCTTTCAGCAAAAGCTC